TTCAGCTGGGAGGGCGGGGTAGAAATTTGAAGAGTAAAGAAATAAATAAATTGTGTCACTTGAAAATGAGGAAGAGGAAAAGAATCAAAGACGGGGGAAATCTCTCCTATATAATAATTGTATTTTCGTCTGGCAACATTCGATGCGTCCCAAAATGAATTGGCTGACTGAACTGCCACTCGGAAGGTCTGCCAGTCTGCCAATCCCCTCGCTGCCTTGCCTCCATCCCGCCCACAGAGCCGCCGGCTACCATCTCAGCCTGCAGACGGGATGGATGCTCCGGTGGGTGGAGGGTAAGGAGGCTGAGTAGGAGAAGGGCGGGGGGAGCAGAGCAAAAGGGCAGAAAACAGGCACCACAGTGGCATAAGAAGGAAAGAGAACTGGGACCACAATACAATTAAAAGCACAAACAACTGGGACCAGAAAGGAATTAAAAGGACAGAAAACTGGCACTTGTTCAACAATAAATGCAGCCAGAGCTCTCCCCCCTTCCTGCACCCACTGTGTAAAGAACCACCATTCCCACCGCAAGGCAGACAAGCACACCCGTCGCTGCGTCCACAGACACAAAGAAAGCCCCGCCGGCTACCATCTCAGCCTGCAGACGGGATGGATGCTCCGGTGGGTGGAGGGTAAGGAGGCTGAGTAGGAGAAGGGCGGGGGGAGCAGAGCAAAAGGGCAGAAAACAGGCACCACAGTGGCATAAGAAGGAAAGAGAACTGGGACCGTAGTATAATTAAAAGCACAGACAACTGGGACCAGAGAGGAATTAAAAGGACAGAAAACCGGCAGCCACTCAACAGCACTTGCTCGATGGTAAACACAGTCAGAGCTCTCCCCACCCCGCACCCACTGTGTAAGGAATCACCATTCCCACCGCAAGGCAGATGAGCACGCCCATCGCTGCGTCCACAGACACAAAGAAAGCCCTCCTCCTGGAAGATGTCCTCGCGGACCATCCCACCGCTGCCGGGATTCCATCCTGCTGCAGGGTGGCTCTGCCTTTTCTTGCGGGCCGGGCCAGGGGGGCAGAGCTGCTTCCTGCTTGGGTCCAAGACTCCAGTGCTTGGTGGGGGGCCTTCGAGGAAGGACCGTGCCTGCCCACCCCGCTAAGGCCATGCTGGCCTCCCCTCACAGCAAAGGGGGAGGCCCCACAGGCACCACTGTCCCACCTCAGAGCCCACCCTTTTCCCACTACAGTGTCACGCCCTCTGCCACCAAGGCCTTGCAGCTGGCCACCCCGCTTCCTCCCTTTGCTCGGGCCTGGCCTCCACTTCCCTACCCGCCTCTGCTTCTCCCTGTCTCCACTTCCCCCACAGCATGGAGCTACTTGCTCCAGCCAGGTGGCGGAGAGGGGTCTCAGTGCCCTAGCCACCTACCTCCCACCACCGCCATCTTCACAGCAGCCCCCAAAGTCTCAGCCAGGTCAGGCCAGAGCTACCCACCGGGTCGGAGGGTAAGGAGGCTGACACCAGCCTGGTGCAGATGGCCGGCCGCTTGCCGAGCAGACGGGGCCCGGTGCCATGGAGGAGAGGGTGCCCAACGAGCAGGGCGAGGCCCAGATCCAGGAGCTCCATGGCCCTGGCACTGGCTCACCAAGTGAGGCTGGCAGTGCCTGGCCCAGGGCAGAGAAAATGCATCCCGGGGAGACACACCTGCAGGCTGCTTTCTAGAGCTCATTGTATTGCTTCTACAATGAGCATTCCTACTAGTATACTATAACGTTCTTTTCCAATGTCACCTCCAAATCCCTCCCCAGTGTTTGCAATCAGAGGCTATTTCCTCCAAAATGAAAAATCACATGTACAACATGCATCAGAGGACATTAACTGGGTGCAATCCAGCAGATACAAACCTCCAGTGCAAGCTCTACTGTGTCCACTATGAAACCTGAATGGAAGCCGTAGATTTGCCCTTTCAGAGTTTTCATGCCATGACACAGAAAGCAAGGATTACAATAGAATCCTCATTTTTCCAACAGTGAATCTTATAATCTCCTCCAAGCCCAAGTCTTATGAAGGAGAACTTAATGAGATCACAGGCATCAGTAGATATTAAACCCAAACCATTTGTTATGACAAAAGTAACACTAGAAATAGCACGATGTAGATGGGCCGTATGAATGATTTACACTGCAGTCTATTTTAAAAACACATCATCTTCTTATAACTCATTTTCCCAAGATGGTGTCCCATCTATCTTCTACAGGATCTATTAAATATAGAATGCCAGTAATAATGATCTCAGAGGACAGGGTCATGAAGATACACAGCATATTAGAAATTCTATTTCCTGGCACCTACAAGGCAGGATACTCATGAAAACTGGTTCCACCTCACAACTTCCCATATATAATGACCTATGTGTGCTAACTTGGGGCAGAAAAGCAAATGATGAGAAATCACTGAAGCAACCATCTGGGACTGTACCCCTTCAGACTATGATGCTTTGCAAATCCCTCTGGAGTAAATGGCTCACTGAGAAAAGTAGTCATCAAGGAGAAGTGTTTCTGCCTAGTCTTCTATCTGACATGGCACTTTAAAATATTCAGGCAAGTTCAGATTTTTTACCATAGGTCAGATTTTTTTTTTTAACCATGGGTGACCACGTATACCTGCTACCATCAGATTCTTGTCGCTAATGCAACCTTCTGCATTCACAGCATGTAAGATATAAACCCTGCCTTACACAGACAGCAACACAGTATTGTTTATTCTGACTGGCAGCAGCCCCCCACCCCTTTCCCGGGTTCTTAGGAAGAGGTCCTTTTCAGCCCTAATACCTGGGGGGGGAAATTTACCTAAAGATAATTGGGACTGAACATGGGAATGTTACATATACCTATGGAGGGAAGAAAAGGCAATAATATTTCTGAGATAGATCTTTATTTATTTATGCAATACATTTATACTCCACTTTTTCTCCCCAATGGGCACCCAAAGCAGCTTACATTCTTTCCCTCTCCTTGCAACAACACTGTGAGGTAGGTTAGGCTGAGACAGTGTGACTGGCCCAAGGTCACCCAGTGAGCTTCCACTGCACGAATGGGGATTTGAACCCACATCTTCCAGATCCTAGTCCGACACTCTTAACTACTATGCCATGACTACACTAGACCTTAGATATCAACACGATCCTACATATCTGGCTGGATGCTATTCACAGATTAATTTCTGTAAATCACACAGTTGTGCAGGCATTTGTGTGATCCTGTTTCAAAGCCAGTTCTTAAGCTCAAACCATTACGATGGATGTGGGTCTGTAGGGTACTGATATTGATCTTAGCTCAATTTAGCCTACAACTTCTTTCCCAACAACAGAGAGACACATAATAAACTTAGAGAATATTTACCTGTACACAGTGTGCTCTCTATGCAAGTCTTCTAAGCCACAAAGAATCTCGGCTGCATAAAACAAGGCTCTTTCCTCCTCAAAGCCTGGGTTTCCCATGTTATATATGTGGAACTTCAAGTCACCCCCATTCATTATGGTCAGAACCAAACACAGCGCATCCTTTGTTTCATAGGCATAGGCTAAGTTGACCTAGAAAGACAGGTGTGACAGTTCAAACACAAGAAAATTCCAGATGTGTATTATTATTTAGTGCTACCATTTTTCATCAGGGATGCCATAAGACCGCGTGCTGTTAAGGATCAAAAAACCTGAAAAATTTAAATGTGCCTGGAATTTCATGATTGAATTTCAAGCCTGTAGAAGTGGACCCCAGTAGAAAATTACTGACTTGGGAACCCACCCAAATCTATCGAAACCTCTGAGAGAGTTGCCAGTGAATGATGCCTCGAGACATCCTAGAGGGATGCAGTAATGATAAAACAAACTGCACACAGCCAGTCATGGCATGTCTCCTTGAATCAAGATGTACTCTGGAGGATTGTACACATTCTGTGACCAATACCATCAACTGCTACATGTGCAACCTTGACCTAATATGGGCAATATGTGGTCTTGTGCAGGGCAGGGGAGAGAAAGAGTGAACAAAACACAGATGGCTGGTGGTGTCCTAGGTGAGATACGTGTGCTAGGTGTGTGGGAAAACTAGGGAAAGCTTGCTTCCTACTCCTTCCTGCCATGCATATCTGGGTTGGATTCTACTGTCAGCGCTGAGTTGGATCCTGTTCAGCTGCCACTGAAAATACAGCAATACTTACTACAAATTTACTATTGACTTTTTCTAGGATCTGCTTTTCATTTAGCGCCATGGATTCACCTTTCCTCTTCTTTATTCTTTTTTTCTCTAATCTTTTGCAAGCATACATTTTCCCAGTTGCTCGTACTTGGCAAGCACATACCTGTAGGAAAGAAATTATGGAAGAAAGGATGGGCAGAGGAGTACAGTAGGAATAATAATTTACTATCTACCATAACCCTTAATTTTACTTTCAACATATTTTTAAAAATTAACGGATCTTCTGCTACTGGAACAGAAGAGCCTTAAAGGGATGTTTTAAATTAGTGGTGTTTAAGACTCAATGCATGGAGGGTTGTGTCGGACCAGAACCTGTATACACACAAGGTAAACATGCATAGGCTTTTTCTGTGTGATCACACATAGGCTCTGCACACACATATGGGGGGAAAGCACAACACCCCCACCCACATATTTATTTTAATCCACTTCTATAACGTCTGACTAGAACTAAAGTCTTGGGTATGAAGAGGACCAATGGAGGAAAATGTGCTGAGTTGTAGTAACCCCACTATTAGCATCCTGAATTGAATTACAAACTGGGAGGACTGGGGTGTATTCTGCCCCGATTTCTGAGTGCTCAAGGAAACCCATAAAATATACTTTGATGTGATATTTTAAGTTATGCCTCCTCAGCACTGTGCTTTACTTGCATTTCGGTTACCATTTAGTTAAAAATCTAGTGACATTAACAGCAGCAACAAAGAAAACAGGAGTCAAGTTTAAGGTTTATTGTAAAGAGTCGAGAAAAATATAAAGTTAACATATCAAACTCAGGCAGTCATAACTCTTAGACTGCATCTTAGTATGTGTTACTCTTATGAGATGCAAGCAACTTTTAACAGAAGTTTTCAGAATTACTCACCTCCCCAAAACCACCTTTTCCTAATACCCTGTACTGCCTAAACGTATTTTTCGTTACTGGTTGTCTAAAAAAAGAAAAAGTGGGGAAGGGGAGAGAAAATAGTTTAAATAGTTTAAAAGGTAAATTTCCATCATCACTTTATTTCAGGGTATTTATACTATATAATATGTAACAATATTATTAGCAGTTTCCCCCCAAATTCTCCTTGTTTTTCAGTTTTCTCAGACTACACCACCATTTTCAGTCCTAAGGAGTTACTAGCTATGAGTGACTTTGCTTCCTTCTCCTTTTGGAGAATGAGTGATTTTTCTCAGGGCTGAACAAAGAGCCCATGAATGACATTTGAACCCCAGTCTGTAGGAATGGATCGAGTCTTCTGTCTGCCATATCCTATTAACTATTTCAGAACAATTTCCCATGTGGCCTGACCTATCATAGGAAATATTTTTCAAACTGTACTCTAATGTCATTTTGGCCCATAGCTGATATCCTGTAAAATCTCTCTGATGTACTGATTCACTCCCATGTCCATCCTGCCCTAATATCCAGTTGTCCGCTTTGCAGATAGTAGAAGTACTGGTCATAGGATTGCCACAGTCCAAACAGAGAACAATGCATGACATTTCATTTTGATATGGTCCTTCTCTCTGGTCCTGTGATGTATTTTTGTGTTAAAATCCCAGGAGCACTGGAATATTCTTTGTAAACACTAAAGGTATCCTCTTTGCATAGCTCTGTCCAGGGCTATTTTTGGGCAGGAACGCACAGGAACGGAGTTCCGGCTGGCTCCCAAGTTGGCCACACCCAGCAGGAACTCATTAGCATAATAGGCCACACCCAACAGCAGAAATTCATTAGGATTGGCTACATTAGGGGTGTGTGGCCTAATATGCAAAGGAGTTCCTGCTACAAAAAAAGTCCTGGGTTTTGACAACAAACAAGGTAAACAGAATAACAAGCAAAAGGTGGGTGTGGCTGGATAACCACACTTTTGGTAACATGGGGGTGCATCCTAATGTGCTAATGAACTGTGCTGGCAGGGGTGTGGCCAAATATGCAAATGAGTTTCTGGTATGGGGTGTGGCCTATTATGCTAATGAGTTCCTGCTGGGCTTTTTCTACAAAAAGAGCCCTGGCTCTTTCACTCCTAATGTGGCAGAATAAAGAGGCAAAGATTTAGGGTGCAACAACTGCATGTCATAAAACAGTAACAGGGTTCCTAACATGTTTTGCTCTCAAAGTCAGTGTGGGAGGCTTGGTGGCCATTTGGATATTTGCAAGGAGAATGGAAGAACAGTGGGAACCAATGCTTAATTCTTCCCCTAACTACCAGTTATTGCTAGAAAGCAATGTGTACAGTATTTGAAAGCTATTTCCCCCCTAAGACTTTAAGACTTACAGTAAGTCCATTGGCAGAAAATTGGCCAACAGAGCGGCGGAGTTGCAGGGAAGAAATCAATGCCACAACCAGGTTCTATACCCCTTTCTCCTGTCTGCCCCTCCCATCTACAAACTGCCCCCAATCTGCATTTGTATTATTTCAGCAGGTTGGGGAGGATGTGTTTGCCAGGCTAACATTTCATTCCGTACTGATTTCAGATTTCTTGCTGCATTTTGAAAGGGGGAAGGATATGATGCTTTGCATATCAAATCACTTTCTACTATATCTCTCCAATGAATGCCAACAGAACGATCCATGTTCGCAAACTGTAGAATTCTCTACTAGTCTAAAGTAGCAGTCATACTTCACAAGTTTGTGCACGAGCAAGAGAGAAGGAAATGTGGACATCTCTGCACATTAATAGCACCATTACCTAGATGACAAATCCCACCTAAAACAGAAGTTCTGGTCATAAATACAGCCTACAAGATGTCCTATCAGACAGAAATAAAAGTGTGATTAAGAAGCTATTAACAAAGGAATCCTTTTTCATCCCAAGTGAGCTCCCCCCTTCTTATGGTTGAAGCAGGACAGTTTTATAAGCTTGTATCCCCCTCCAAAATGACACAGAAATGGTCAAGTTGATCAACATATTCTGCCAATGCAGTCTATAGACTGGTGTGTCGACCTGTATCACCATATTCTGGCATCAGTGGAAGTAGTTTGGAGAACGTGGGCTGAGTCAGCAAATTACACAGCCACATCTGCACTTTGCTTCCCTACCAATCCATCATTTCCTTGTCACAGGCAGTGCTGTCTGCCGGAGCTGATTGCCTTCCATCCCTGCATGTATTCAGTGGAGATTTAGAAGAAAGGTCAAGTCTACTGGGCCACCCAGTTCCCATCTATAATTGGATTTCTTTAATATAATGGAAAATATTTCTCCTAACTGTCCACATTTAAAAAACCCATTAGTCTTCCAGCAAACAATTAAATAAGAAGTAACAGTACACAGGAGTTACAGGGCTACTGATCAGCCACCAGAGGGTGCTCTTAGGGCAAGCTACAGAACAGATGCCAAAAGAATCAACCTTATGCTAAGGAAGCCCTAACCACTTGTACTGCTGCTATTATTAAAACACACACCCAAAGAAAGGATAAGATCCAACACGGAAATGAGCAACATTCAAGTTTTTGAGAAAGCACTTCTAAACCTTGGAAGGGCTTTTCAAATGGCCTCGTGAACTGAAAGGAGTTCAAGCATGCCTGATAGCTTTGCTAGTGCTACCTAACTTCAGATGTGAGGCTGTTGTCTTGTCTTCACTTATTCACTAGCTAGAGGAAAGGCACTCTGCATATGCCCAGAGAGATTTCTGTTTTACCTTACATTTCTTTGGCACAGAAAGCAAGTTTCAGGGTAAAGGTTCCAACACAACCTTTGCATAGTGATAAAACAACACTACTGTTCAGTGATTCAGAAGACATCGATCTTTGCTGATTTCTAAATATTTTCAGTTAGCTAAAACAGAATGGAATCAATGATATGAAAACAGCAAATTCTTAACTACTGGAATCTAACATCTGCAGCAAATTTTCCTATTGTCTATGGAAGACCAAGAAAATAAAAAAAATGTTGGATGAAAACGTTTGCTAGTTAATGCATCATTGCCCCCCCCCCCATGCTCCACCATAAAGCAAAGTGCATGCAAATCCTTGAAGAACCACTTACCTTTCGAGCCATTTCCACTGGAGAAATCTATCAAAGTACATGCTGCCCATATATTCTTGAAAAGGTTCTCCGCTTAGATACTCATGTACAGATCTGTCTCAGATGAAAAACAGGTGAGCATTTTATAATCCTGAGCTTTGCTACAAAGAAGTATTCCAGTGAGGATCCTCAGTTTAATTCCCACTAATTCATATGTAAATACAGATTTTAAAACAATTGTTTGTATATATGCATGCAATATATGTATGTAATATATGTATAGGGCCGCAGTGGCTCAGAGGTTAAGATGCTGAGCTGCAGACCGGAAGGTCTGTAGTTCGGCAATTGGCGTGACGGAGTGAGCTCCCGTCTCTGGCCCCAGCTCCTGCCAACCTAGCAGTTCGAAAGCAAAAAATTGCAAGTAGATAAATAGGTACCGCTTCAGTGGGAAGGTAACAGCGTTCCGTGCGCTTCAGTGTTTAGTCATGCTGGCCACATGACTACAGAAATGTCTTTGGACAGCGCTGGCTCTTCGGCTTGGAAATGGAGATGAACACTGCCCCCTAGGGTCAGATTCGACCAGCTCTCGAGCAAGGGAAACCTTTACCTTTACCTTATATATGTATATGTGGATGTAATGGTAAATGTCAATAGTTTCAGGAGTTCTTACAATTTCTGGAAGTTTACAGATTTAGGGACCCAAAATTTCTGACATTTACTAATCAGCCTCAAACATTCTATCTTACTTGGATTTATCAAAAGACATTATTGCACTCCTGAATATATATGCCTAACAAAATGATATGCAAAGCTTGACTATTCCAGCTAGATAATTAAAAGGAATAATGGTCACCTTTTAATACTTTACTTGATTTTTAGTTTCTTACTTTGACACAAATCGAAGTTTTTACAATAAATCCTGAACTGTGAAACCAAGGGGAACGAGCAACAACTTCTAGCACCAAACCAGCTGTCTTTGCCAAAATAACTTCTTTATCAATTCAGCACACTGTAAGTTATTATCTCAACATGATGGTGTACTGAGCTTAACAACGTGAATGATTCTCATTCTGTTCAGCACAAAGAATAAATCACGGCAGCAAAGAAGTCAAGCCAACCACATGAGCAAAGCTTGGGTATATTTTACAAATACCCGATTGAGCCATCCAGGATGGACAAAAGGCAACTGGAACTGTGTGCGAATGGCTCGGATGACCCCCCCCCCATGCCTTTTGATTTTTAAAAATTGTTTTAAGGCCTCACTATCTAGACAAATACAGGAGACAGTGTTTGCAAATGTAGGCTATGTATGTGGAGATTTACAGTACAATGGGGAAATTGCCATGACTCGGCAAAATGGATAAGCCCTTCCCTAGACAGAAGGACACCCGAATGTGCTACAACCCTCCTATTTGAAACCTTCTGGAAGAACAGTGAACAGCAGCATCTGCACATTCCTCTGCCCAGACAGGCTGCAAAACAGCCTGATTTTTTTCACTTTGAAACAGAAGGTGATTTAGGGAAGTATCCTGACACTGCAAAACACCCCTAGCACCAAGGTGGGCTTCTTAGCTAGGAAAAAGGCACATATGATACATATATGTTGTCATGTGTGCAAAGCAGAGATGTTTATTTTGTTGCATGTACACACCATGGGAAACTACAGTCAAAAGGGCAGCTATTTTTCCAAGGGTCCTTGTAGGCTGTAAGAAGTTTCTAATTTCTTTGTCTAGTGGTGCTCACATTTGCCCATTCATGGGGAAGGGGTACCAGAAAAGGTGCTTCTTTCATTTTAAAAACGTTAAAATGACATTCTCAGGGAAGTAGAAAGACAGAAAATAAAGAAGGGGGGGGAGGGAAAAACCCAGGTCCATTACTTTGGGGACAAAGGTTCTCAGAAAAATAAAATAATAAAACAATGGGTAACCACAGGTAACCACAGGTAATCAATAATGTTATAGACTCTAGCCAACAGTGACACCTGGAAGTCAAAGAAAATGAATAAGTGCAAACAGTAGAATTTTGTGGTAATGTGTTCTGTTGTCGAAATACATTACTTACATCTTTTTAAAATTATGATTGATTCTATTATCTTCTTACTTTGCTCACAACTTCCATGAATCCACACTACAATACTTAGAAGGCCACATTTTCCCAGCGACAGCAATGCACACCTTGATTCCTGGGACCCAGATTCCCTTTCAATGAATTGGGAGGAAAGAGTCTTCTGGCAAGACACAAACCCACTTTCCTACAGATGTGCTGCTTCATCCAGATCGTATGCTTCAGTTTCATAAAGCACCTTATGTACATTAAAACAACAAGCTCACAGCCTTATCTGGAAAGCAAGGAAACTAGATATTCCTTGCCTTTAACTGATGCTTCTTTGTAAAAGAATTGCGTAGACTACATCAATATAACATGATTTTGGAATGTCACATTATACTTACTTTACACAAGGTGAGAACAGCTCTTTACAGGGACTGTTTTCAAGTTTTTCTTCTGTCTGCTGGAGAAGATCTCGATTGACTTCTGCTACATAAACTGGGGACTAGAAAAAAAACAAAGAATGGGCACTACATTAGCTTCGTTAACAGGGAGAAAGCATTTTCTTGATAGACAAGCTCATATGGACAACTCAGAGCATTACCTTAAGATTAATGACGGTGGCAAGATTAAATTTAGCTGTAAAATGGAAATGTGGAGTGGGGAGAGGAATTCAGTTTGGACTCATGTCACAGGACAAGAGGGGCTAATTCTTTCCATCTGTTGCCCACCTCCCCAGCTACAATTACACCTGGTGGAAAAAAGAAAACAGGCAAAAACAGAGTACCTGCTTTCTTTCCAAAGTGGAGGTTAATAGCATGTGAGGGGAGGCATTTTGACTAGGAAAATGGTGCAATGAGAAAAAGCTGAAACTTGCAATTTCCTACCACTGAAGTCCTGATCCAAACTGGATCACTAATAACTACAGTAACTGTGACTTGCAATTTCAATTATTTGTGATCTGATCCTGCGATGTGGTCTCTAGCCTGTGCTTACTCCTACTGAGACATCACCGTAGTCATGACTTCATTCCATTTGCAAGAAAGTAGTCTGTTTAGCTCCTCAGAGGCAGCTGACCTGTACCTCCCGGTATTTGCAGATTTCAACACTCATGCTCATCCCGGAGGTGGAGCCCCCATGAATCATGTTCTACATGCAATAACAAAGATTACTGAACTGACAACTACACATGATCTTGGTTATTTTAATTAAAGCAGCAATGCCAAGCATTCTTGTTTAAACAAAGATGGAGGACTACAGTCTGGCAGAAAGAAATCTTAACCATTCACAATGAAAAAAAAACTGCAGAAATCCAGCACTTCATAAAAGCCTATTTCAGACATTCAATTCTGGCACGCCAACCACATATAATGGGAGCATGAGCTATGTGCAATCATTCCCAATGCACACAGTCACCATTTTGTATGAATGGCATAATGTACATATTTTCCATTTCTTGTAAAATACACACACTGCCCCATTCACACAAAATGGATACTGGGTGTGTTGGGACAATCATGCATAGTGTCTGCTCCCACCATGCACAGGTGGAACACCAGATTCTGAAAAGGACTAAAGAATGCATTTTAACTGGGTCTTCTTGACCAGCAGGTGGTGCTACATGAGACAGCTAAAACTAAGTAATAAGGTTTCGTCGGATGTTTTCAGAAGAATGTGATGATGTGGTAAGCATTTTAAGCAATCATTGCAATCCCTTTGGGTTGCCAACTCTGGGTTTGGAAATCCATGGGGATTTAAGGGTGGAGCCTGGGAGAGGGGGGTTTAGGGAGGGACCTCAGTAGGGGATATACAGTCCCATATGGTCCACCTTCCAAAACAGCCATTTTCTCCAAGAAGAAGTGAAAGAAATAAGTAATGAACAAGTAAGTGATTTATATAGTTGTAATTCTAGGAGATCTCCTGCCCCCCACCTGGAAGCTGGCAACCCTACAATCCATTAATAATAGACTTTGGTTAAACTAGTAATAATTGAATGGTTGATGCCTCAGGGAAGTAAGGTAAAAATATAAGAAAATCTCCAGCAAGGAAAAGGTTAGTTAAATGCATTAATTAATTTACAGTCTTTCCTTTGTTCCCTATCTCTTTGACACACACTCTGTCTCTAATTCAACCATGATCACAGTGCCAATAACACAGAAATTATTCTGCGCTCCACATTAGCAGAAACATTAATGTTAAATCATTCTGTAGTCTTCAGAATTGACTGCGCATTTGGAAGGGCATGGGCTCAGAATAGTCTTTCAAACACCAGGAAGAACAAAATGGAACCAGATTCCAAAACCATTTGCAAAACTTTTTCCTGAAATAATTCCAGAAAACCACCTGCTCACAGGTTGCTTTTATTTGTATCTTATCTTCCGCACTGTCATTTTTGTCCCTCTTGCTTCAGGGTCCCCCCCCCAATGTGTTTTGCTCTCTCTAGTAGTCCCAGAGGGAGCAAAACACATGTGGAAAAGGGATTGGCGGCGGCAAAGCAATAGGGACAGACAGAAATGACACTGCGGAAGAGAGTTGAGCTTTACTGTGTTTAGTGGATGCAAGTCTTCCATTTCCCCTCTCTCCACTGAGGTCACATTGCTGCACTCTATTGACTGAGCAGTCTAGAAGCCGATCAAAGAACTCAAGTTGTTTGCCTGTATTATGCAGGATTTTCATTTTGGCTTTCTGAAGGAGAGAGAGCCTTGAGGACACCATAGAAGAGTGAGTAGAGCTCCCTGCACCAGCCGTGTTGCCCTTTCCCACAGTTCATGACAGACACAATCAGAGGTTGGGTTTTTTTTTAAAAAAAAATCCATGTGACCTAATCTCTCATTTTTCACTTTCCTAAGCCAATCCATGCATATTTAGAACATGTTTGTTAGTGTGAGTCAAGTCTCTTTTGAAAGCTGGTGTTCTCTACCCGATGCATAAAAGGAAACATATGGATGGATTTGATCCAACAATGGAATACTGCAAACCATTTTACTAAACAATTTAACAGAAATAATTATCACCCCCTCCCCCTATCACGGAAAGCCCATTTGAACGGCTATTGTATGTCTATGAAAACAAGCTGTGTAATGGTGTAGGCCTTGAAATCATTCACAAGTAGCAGCCTAGGGCCAGAGAACTCTTTCCAAGGAGTGCAATCAGCATAACTAACCTTGCCGATATTTTATAGTCCCAAAGAGTGTTCTGTGTACATTAAAGACCAACATGAGTCATTCTTCTCACTTTTGTTTAAGACTGTGTATGCCAGAGTGTTATTAAACTGCCAACATTGGCACTTCTCTTTTTCAAAGCTGTTTGACATGTGCTCAGATCTAATGAATTAAAAGAACTTTTTTTTTAACTTTGGCAAACCAGGTCAGCTCTGTATAATACATGACAAGCAACCACGATCTACCTCAGAGTCAATGGTCTTCAGCACTCTTAACTCTGTGTTGAACTGTGGCTTATGTCTGTACCAGTAGGGATGCCAGTCTCCAGGTGGGACTTGGGGATCCCCCAGAATTACACCTCACCTCCAGACTACAGAGATTAGTTCCCCTGGAGAACATGCATGCTTTGGAGGGTAGACACAACAGCATTGTACTCCACAGAGGTCCCTTTCTTCCCCAGGCTCCATCGCCAAATCTCCAGATGTTTCTCAGCCTGGAGCTGGAAACCCTACTCCACCATCCCCTGCCAGTGGCCAAGGGGAACCTGGCAACCCTATTACCAACCATCCTTCCTGAGCTAAGACAAAAATATGTGAGCCAGAGGCTAAAAACCTGTCAGCAAGCTCACACTAACTCAGCTTAGAGGGAACACTGCTTGCATTGAGCAATGCCACCAAGATACTAAAAGTAGATGAATTAATAGGGTAGGGGGGAGCAGGCCTTGTAACGGAAGCCATAGCATTCATTATTGTCATATTATTCTCTGCTCTTTTTTCCTGGGACACAATATCAACCTCTCCCCACCCCATGCTTAGAGAGCCCAGAAACACACAAACCTCTTGTGGTTTTTGTTTTGAGAAATAAATGTTTCAAGAGACTGGCTTTATTTCTTCTTCTGGCAAGGTTCAGGATTAAGAACAAGCAGCAATGGATTAAAGCTAAGAATCCATAAAGAATATCATCTGTATTATACAAATTCAAATACCCATAAAATTTGACAGAGAGAATAAGGGATGATGGAAAATTCTGACCTCCCCCCCATGATTCATCTTCTATGTGGAGATCTCCAGGGGTCTGGCTCCCTGCCTGCCACAGAAATGGATACTATCAGACACTGACTGAGGAACATAACAGTGGTCCCGTTCATACGCGGCGATTTGGGCCAGTTGCGGGCCAGTTTGGGGGCGGATCAAAGCAGTGCGATCACACCACAACATCTGGGAAGCGTTCTGCTTCCGCCCCCAAACTGGCCCTTTCTGGGAAAAATCCCGAGTGGCGCAGTGCGGCCGGCCCCCGGTTAGGGCTGTATTTTCTCCCCGGCGTTTGATCGCGCCGGGGAGAAACGGCGGCGCGGCCGGGGGATCCGTGGGATCCCGCCGCGCCGTGTCAACGTTGGTGCGGCTTTTAAAAGCCGCGCCTTCAAGCGCCTTTTCCCCTGCGTGTGGCAGGGGCCAGTATTTCACTCCTACTCTGACTTAGGGTTGCCAACTCTAGGTCGGGAAATTCCTGGAGATGTAGGGGGTGGAGCCTGGGGAGAGACCTCAGTGGGTATAATGCCATAGAGTCCACCCTCCAAATCAGCCACTTTCTCTAGGGGAACTGATCCCTCCAGCATGGAGACAAGTTGTAAGCCTGGGAGATCTCCAGGCCCCCAGACACCGCCACGGCAAGCCGAAACATTTGTCAGCCACAATGTTTACTTTGCTACTACTGAGCAGAGTCATTCGAACGTCAGTGGAAGGTAGTCCACATTCAGTGGCTTGGATCCACTGATAATCTCCTCTGCAGAGCCCATCTTCCTCACGTCACCGCTCCTGCTGCAGTCTAAAATGCTCTCCTGAAAGCTGATCTTGAGACAGATATCTCCAGGAACAGCAGGAGGGAGAAATCAGCAAAATCATCCTCCACCTTTCCATCCACAGAAAACCTCTGAGGGATCCAAGCCAGTATTTTCATTCCACACCCTGATAAAAGCAGAACTTCCTCCCTCTTCTTCCTCCTCTTTATGCCCACAGTTTTTAGCCTGGAGGGACACAACTTTCTCTAGGATTGCCATCCCCCTCCCCCCCAGCAGTGCCAGGAACCTCCCCGATTTTGGGGGCTTCATCCTGCTGCCGGCCAGCTGGCAGGTTGGGGAAGCCACATCCTCAAACAAAGATTTGATGATGTCACCCATAAGTGATGTCATCACACTGGGGACACTACTGGTATTTGGGCAAACTCTATAGTTTTGAGGCCCAAACCCCCAGAGTGTGCCCAAATACCAGAGCGTCCCCAGCATGATGACATCACTTCTGGGTGATGTTATCACACATCGGAGACATCACACAACATCCCCACCCACCCTCAGAACACTCCCCAAAGTCCCATGCTCCAGCCAAGGTAAGACCTGGCAGCCCTAACTTTCTCCTTTCCTCAAATATTGGGATGGCATACTATGACAGCCTTGCCCTTTCCCTTCCCTCAGATGCAAGATTTTCCCTCTATTTTTCTCTTTCTTTCTGACTGAGCAGCCCTTTTATCTATTTTCTTCTTTCCGGGGGATCTATGCAGGTCCCACCCCGTCACGTTATTGTATTTTTATGCTGGCTCAGCCCATGAACTTGAGGGAAAAGACAAGATCACCCTCTTAACCTAAACTTCTGAAATGGCACATGAAAGGCTTTTTAACATTCAAAAATTAACTAAATATTTTATTCAACAGAGGAGAAAAGGTCAGGTGAAAACAGGGGTAAAATGTCTGAGGTAAATCAATAAGAACTCGGAGGTAAATTAATATTTTCACAAGTGAGGCATGTTTTCAGCAACTGAGAGGTTTAAACTTTTCACACAGTCTTAGAATCTTTGAGATGAGAGGCTTTTCTTTTAATGTTTCCTAAACACTCCAGAACACTTTCTTGAGTAACTGATTCTTCAGGTTTCAGACACCCAAATTCCTTCTCTGAGCACACCAGGGACCACTCCACGTCACCGCTCCTGCTGCAG